CCAAACGATGCTCTTCCAAGTGGCTCAGAACATTTTCCAGCACTTGGGGCACGGACTTCCCGCCAGTCCAAGATTGGAAGACACGAGCATTTGTGCCATTCCAAAAGGCGCTGTGAAGGTCGTCCGGGCCCACCGTCAAGCGTCCGAGCCACTGCCATGTGCCGAGGATATGCAGAGGCATGAGACGAGAGGCCTCGAAGGGGATGTCATCAAGCCTTAGAGTCTTGTCTGCCAGGAACCGTTTCCGTTGTGACGGAGGCAGTTGAACGATGCCAAGCCCCAAGTGAAATGCACGCTGGTGTCGTAGGTGGCCTTCAAGATGTCCGGGGCCGTCGAGATCGCCCTGCCGCATGGATACTGATGGTTTTTTTCATGCCTGCCCTGTTCACCCTCCATATTTAAGTCATCATACTGAAACAACATATTACTGAACGACATAAGGGTAACGTGCGTGGGCCTAAACCGCATCTGCATCGATGCGGAGAATGCTTGGCTGCAAAGCTTCGCCCATGACCAGAGCCACTACCTCCTCAGTGGCATTCTGGAGGTCCGACCGTGTCGCCATGACATCGGCGGTCTGCTCCTCGGGCCATGCAGCTGAGGCCTCTGACCGGGCACCACCGAGCGCCCCAAGCATATGCATAAGAGAGGCAACACCTTGCTGTTGGCCCTCATTGTCCGTGCTGCCGCTGCCTCTCATGACGACCATGATGGCACAATGGCAAAGACCAATGCCAAGATCCGATCCTGAAGTCCTGAAGATCTAAGGTCCTGGGGGCCCTGGGGACCTGGGGACCTTGAGCAGCACGACAGCATGGCAATCAAAGATGAATGACTTCACTGGCACATGCCAAATCAAACACACTGAGCCGATGCACGCAGACTCAAAGTCAAGCTCGGCAGGTGCACCGGCGAAGTCGGCGAAGTTGAAGTTGGGCTCCTGGGGTCCTGGGGACCTGGGAACCTAAAATGCCACCGGCCCTGCGCGAGGTAGCAACTCTAAGGTTTTCTAGGTTGACAAGAGCCTTCACTATGTTATGGTAGTATGCAACTAGCAGTGTGAGGCGCACTTCACTTTGAATTATTGAACTTTGTTTGGTCTATAGCACTTGTCTTCGTAAAGTGCTTTCGAGGCACTGAGGGGTTTATAAGGATAGATTATCCATTTGAGGGTTTTAGAGTTTCGGGTTAACGGTCCTAATTCCAGACACAGAGCACCCTAGCTTCTAAAAGATTCAGGCTTGGTTTCAGGGCTTTAGGATTAGCTTTGCAAACCCTACATCCCAGACACCTCAAAGCGAAAGCGTAAGTGTGAACACAAACACAGAAGCATACATCTTAAATGAATGTCAAGTAAGATAGACATCGCATAGCATAGCATATACAGTTACAACTACTAACTAAAAACCATCTCCGATGGCTATACTGCTATAAGGCTACTATTATAGACCTTAGATCAGATATCTAGCCCTAGGGTGTTTGTGGGGCTGAGAAACAGCGGCTAAATTAAAAATCCCCGAAAGCTCCACCAAGGTTTGTAGGGTAATGCCAGACCAAGGCCTGTTGTCTCGCTGTCTCTGCATGTGGCTGTGTAGGCTCGAAATACGAGCACGTTAAAGAGAACAGCAGTCTGGAGTTTAGGATTTAGGGTTTAGGGTTTAGGGGTCGGCATAGTATACAAGGGCATCCCGTTAGACCATGAAATACACCACGACCCTCTTGAAATCATTCGTGCAGTACGCTCCTGTTCCCTCTCCAGGGTCAGCTGAACTGCTTTGGGATTATCACCAAGACATTATAAACCACACATCGTGCACGGGGTATGGGGTCTCAATCATCAACATATTTTCTACTATACTTCAATGGGGAACCCCAAGGAAGCGTCTTAGCTTAGTCAGGGCTGCCTGCTTCGGTTGCGATATTTCATTGCGCGGCCAATTGAACCTAAGGGGAAGACTTGAATCACACAAAGCGCTAAGCCCCAAAAGCCCGAATCCCTGATCCCAATACTTGAAACCACCCAAGCACCGAAATCGTACAAACTTCTTACAGGGACCCCAATAGTTAGAATAGGTTTGTGGGGTATCTCATCGTACATCTAAATATGGAGTGTAAGGGGATCGAGTACTACTCACTGCTCTGACCTCCATAGACAAGCCCCACAAGCAAGAAGAGGGTCTCACAAACCCTACATACGAAATCCTAAACCCGGAACCCGAAACCCTAAACAGGAAGCCTCCGGTAGCCATCGTTGCAGCAGGAGGCAGCCGGAATGTCAGCCGCACCTCAGCAGATGATGCTTGTAAGTTTCTGGGTCTAGGGTTCAGGATATTATCAGGTTTATGATTCTGGCGTTAAGCCCCTAAACCCTGAGCCCTAAACCCGAAAGCAGGGTTTAGGCCTTAGTTTCGACGCTCTGGGCTTAGACTTAGCCTTCAGAGCTTGAGGATTCAGGGTTAAACCTCAGCCCCGACAGGTTAAATCTGTGAAAACGATGTCGGGCTCAAGGTTTAGGACCTTATATGCCGAAAGCCTTTAGCCCAACGTCCGTCTACGGGAAATCCGGGTAACAGCCACAGATGGTCATCCTACTCAGAAATCAGTTGGCCATGCGATGGTGAACCTAAAGACGGACTCAAAACCAAAGAGCTCGGGAAGCCCCATATCCGAAGCCCTCAACCCAAAACACATAACCCTATCAGTGCTCCAGATACCCTATCCCCTCAAGTAAATCTGGGAAGCCGGCATAGTTGTACTTGTAGCCCACTTCCCGAACAGAGCCATAGAGGCCAGCAACCTTCCACTGACTTGACGTCGGAACTTTGAACGCGGCTTCCGAGCTTCCGACTTCAAACTGGGGTGTCTCACTACGGTGGGTTCGCGACATGCGGCTTAGAGGGTCGAAGGTTTGCCTGCTTTTGGCAGATCGTGACCCACTCATAGTATATGGACCTTACTAATTGGAATAGGGTTCTGGGGCATAGTTAGACTAAGGAACCCCAAAGTAGTATTGGTTATTCTCTCGGCCCCTACATTACATCCTACCCTACTATCAGCCAGAACTGTGGGCACCCAGAGAATCGGAGTCAACAGTCCCCACTTGCATTGCTGTCAGTGAAACAGAGGTGCAGGATTTCCGAACTGGACATAGGTTTTGGCGTTGAAAAGATGAGATGTCCCAAAAGGCCTAGATAGAAATTGTCAAGGCTAAGAAGGCTTGGGTTTTAGTGTCTCACTGAAACACCAAAACCCCCAACCTTCTCAGCCTAGACAACTATATTTGCTCTCTGATGTGGACTGTGGAGCTTCCTGAAACTTTAGGAAGTTAAGCACTCCGAACTACATGTCATCAGCAGAAATGCTGAAACAGACAACAAAGCCCTGCACCCTAAAACCGAAACCCTACTAAGCCTTAACCACAGCCTCCAGCTTCAAGTAGACGCCATAGCCAGGATAGCCTGAGGTTCTCTCGATCACCGCTGCACCTCCGCTGGATTTGCTGCACAGCTCCAGGATGGAAGGTCCGTTTTCGAAGCCGAGAGCAAGTATATAAACACACACATATATATATATATACACATAGTGTATATATGTATATAGTATATATGTATATAGTATATATGTAAATAGTATATATATATATATATATGTGTATATACATATGTGCATACATATATATATATATATATATGTATGTATGTGTGTGTAAATATATATTCATGTTTATACATACGCATGTTTCTGTAAAGTCAGTGTATCAGCAGCTGAAAGGTTACCTGGTTAATGACCCAACATGTGTCTGGAATTTGGCGGCTGTCTAGAGTGTATCTAAGGCTTGAGGCTTATGGAGCTGCGAGGTTCTGAGGGAAAGAGGTCCGTCGTGAGCGGGAACGGAAGGATGGAGATTCACGGTTGAGGGTTTAGGGGCTTCGGGCTTAAAGGTTTAGGGTCTAGGGCTTAGAGGTTTAGGGGTTTAGGGTTTAGAGGTTTAGGGCTTCGGATTTAGAGGTTCAGAAGTCTCTGGGTTTCGGCTTTAGGGTGGAGGGCAATGAAATGCCACAAGCCAGGGTCCGGCGGTCTAGCGAAACGACAACTCCGAAGATCAAAACTCGGAACTCTGAGCCGAAATCCTAAAATCGAGCGCTTCGGGGTATTACGGTTTAGGACTTCGGGCTTAAGGTTTGAGGTTTAAGTGGTTTGGGAGTTTAGGGCTGAAAGCGTCGGGCTTCGGTTTTATTAAGGGTTTCAGGGATACTATATGTATGCGCCAACCGACAAAGGTTAAAACCTGACTAAACCTCGAACCTGAAACAGAACAGCCCCTGCCGACAGTACCAGCAGGCAGTCAAGCCCCAAGAGGACACGATTCCTTACTGACTGTAATTCACTTGAGCTGGGAGGTGGTAACTTCCAGCCCACATCTGGGCAACTGCAACGGCCGCAAGCGGTAGTATGGCCTAGAACTACAGGGTTTAGAGTTTTTGGCGTGCAAGTTTAGGGATTTGGGGCGTTGGGTTCAGGGTCGAAGTCCTAGTAAAGAAATTGATTGAACCATAAACACAAACCCGCCCTGGCCCTAAACCCTAAACTCTAAACCCGAAACCCGAAGCCCCTAAACCCTAAACCCTAAACCCTAAACCCTAAACCCTAAACTGCCCTGAAGCCTGGCGTAGCGAAGTGTCATGCCCGACCTGCACTGGCGCTGGCGCGTACCTCGAAGGACCACATCGGCACACCTTCGGGGAGAATCTGTTTGGCTTGGGTTTAGAGCGGTTTTGGGCTCAGGGTTTAGAATTTTGGGGTTTAAGTTTTAAGGGTTTTGGGGTTTAGGACTCGGAATCTAACAATTTGGGCCCAGTCAGGATTAGGATTTCGGCGTTATTAGGCTTTGGGTTCAAGGTGCTAAGGCTTGCTTAGGGCTTGGTACTTCAGAATTCCGTCACCTAAGGCCGCCAGACTGCTGGGCACACCACAAGATATGAAACACCTGCGGCCCGAACTGTTGTCCTGACTTTCAAGGACGATACTCATATACTCAGACTCCTAGAAGCTGTTCAGCTTCGGCGGTGGCCTGTGCCACGCACGAGCTTGCCATTGAAAGCCAAGCTCGTGATGGTCCCATTAAGTATTAAGTACAGGACTTCGGCTATAGTTGGGGCATTGCTTGCCGCTTTTTCCGGCATTGGGTGAAATACCCTAAACCCTACCTACCCCATCTCACATTTTGGTATGGAGTTCAACAAGGGCCCTGCACAAAAGTTGGGTTTGTAGTGAAGGTATCGTACAAGCCACAAAGTTGGAACATCCCGTATCTTCGTGCCTACACGGCAAAACACAGGGAATCCCAGCACGAGTTATCCTAATCTCATGTTTCTTCCTGATGTTCAGTGTAAAACCTAAACCCTAAACCATAGCCTGTTCAACACCTGCCTTCTTCTGGAGGGTCACCGTTGATCAGGCCCAAACGGAATCGCAAACGCTGGCCTGCACTCGGGCTTCAGGGCTTTGCAGCGGGCTTTAGGGCGGCAGCGGTTCAGCCCTAAACCCCTCAAGGCCCAACCCCAGAAACCCAAAGGAGGCTAATTCCCGAAAATCTCAGCTCATAACCCTAAACCCTAGACCTGCTCGGAACACAAATACCTAAGCACTAACAGGGCTGCTGAGGTTCTGAAAGCTTTAAATTGTGATCCGGTCGATCTTCGGTTTACCCTGAGACTCCAAGAACTATAGAGGCCGGACTTTTTTGGGCTTCTAGTATGCTTCTTGAAAAATTTTAAATGGGGTCACTATAGCGGTTTACAAAGGGACCTGAGTAAGCAGGGCAAGTCAAATCATTTTTAAGCAACGCCGAGAAATGGCTTAAAGTTTTCCAGGAAAAAGTCGGGCAACGCCGCTTTAAGCGGCAATGCCCGGTCCCCGAGGGTAGGGAATGGGAGCAGGCAGGCTTTCCAAATTGTCCGTCCGGTCCCCGCTCGCGCTCCAAGGCGCACGAGCGCCTTCGGCCAAGGTTAACGGTTGCTTGCGCCGCCAACCCTGGCTAATAAGAAGACTTCTAAGGTCACGGAGCCGCCGAAGCATGCGAGCAAGCTCGCTAAAACCTTGTTCTGCGTTTGGCTCCTGGTAGAAATGCTCCCTCTTACAATCCTGCACCACGTATTTGCGTTTTGGACGGCCGCTTTCAAAAGTTGCATGGACCTCAAAGAGCTTGAGTTACAGGAATTCTACTTTCTTATGTGAGTTCAGCACGCAGCTGCTCGGCCAACGCGTGTCTTGCAGCTTGCGGCAATGCATTTTCAACATTCTTTTCCAGGGGAGGTTTAATTCCAGATTCGCGGCACAAAGTAGTAGGAGCAGTAGTAGTAGTAGTAGTAGTAGTAGTAGTAGTAGTGGTAGTAGTAGTAGTAGTAGTAGTAGTAGTAGTAGTACTAGCAGTAGTGGTAGCAGTAGCAGTAGCAGTAGCAGTAGCATTACAGGTAGTACTACCATTAGTAGTAGTAGTAGTAGTAGTAATAATAGTAGTAGTAGTAGTAGTAGTAGCTATGGGGAAACGAGTAGTCAAAGTAGTTATAGGGGGATGAGTAGTGTACAAATATTATCGGAAATTGGAAGGTTTCGGTGCCTAAACCCTAAACTTGACATCCCAATTCCTACATGTGATTTGGAGCCCCAATCCCTCATCCCTGCCCGACAGCCTAGGCCCTGCTTCCTAAACCCTCGAATCCATAAACCCTGCATCCATAAGCACTAACACGTCAATAACTCCTGACTCCGAATCCACAGTATGAAAACTAAATCAAACGTAAAGCCTAAAGCCGAACGCCTGAAGCCGAAAAAACACTAAACCCTGAAACCCTACAACCGCTAAAGCCCCTAAGCCCTACACCCTAAACCCCTAAACCCCTGGACCCCTAAACCCCTAAAGCCCCAAAACCCCAAAACCCCTGAAGCCTTACACCTAAAAGCCCAAAGCCCGAAGCATAGATCCCGTGTATTACCCTTTTAGAAACCCCCTTAATGGAACCTTTAAGCTACCCCTAATCCCGAAGCAAAACAAAATCGCGTAAATTTGTTTTTGCCCGCTGTGCGAAACTCGGCCGGTGACGTTGGGGAAGCTCCTGTCTGCACTTCTGGGCTTTAGGGTTTTGGGGTTCGGGTTTAGGGTTTTGGGGTTGGGGGTTTAGGGTTTTGGTGTTCATTTAATCGTATACACGTATGATAGACAGATACAGTAGGTAGGTAGCTAGGCAGGTAGTAGGTAGGCAGATAGGTAGCTAGCTAGCTAGCTAGCTAGATAGGTAGGTAGTTAGGCAGGTAGGGGGGAAAATAAGTAGATAGATAGGTAGGTAGGTAGGTAGGTAGGTAGGTAGGTAGGCAGGCAGGTAGGTAGATCGATAAATAGATGGATAGACCGATAGATAGATCGACAGATAAATCGATGAACAGCTCGAAAGATAGACAGATAGATCGATGGATGGATGGATGGATGGATGGATGGATGGATGGATGGATGGATGGATGGATGGATGGATGGATGGATGGATAGGGTTTGGGGTCTTCAGGGCTTCAGCTTCAGGATTTTTGGCTCTAGGGTGGTCTAAAGAGTTAGATTCCGCAGGGGATCCCGGAATGCGAGTCTGGATATCCTCTGTACAAGACTTACATATGTACATAGTATGTAACACAAAGAGGGCGAAAAAGAGAATGAGAGAGAGAGAGGCTTCGCGAATTACTTTGAGCTAGAAGGCCTCCGAGGGCTGCTATATGGCTGCTTTTGAGCGTTGCGCAAGGGCTTCTGTCCGGGTTACTCCATGGGTTTCTTGAAAGGGCTACAATGCTTGAGCGGTTTAGGATTTAGGGTTCATCGCATCGCTCCTCCAGATTTTCAAGCAACTCTTCCCACGCCAGCAGACAAACCAAGACCATCACCCGATTTAGGGTCGGTGTCTAGGGTTGGGATGGAATCAGGTTTTAGGCTTCAGGGTTTAGGACTCTGGTCATTCAACTCCCCAGCTGTGGACCTGCAAAACCACACGCCCTGTCGTCCTCCTCGCCGCGGGCGCGGGGGGACGTGGTGTGGCAGCTATCTCGCCACCTCCCCAGTCAAACTCTGACTCTCTCGGTTAGGGTGTTGGACTTTAGTAGGTTTATGGGAATTGTTAAGGGTTTGGGTGCCGAAAACGTTTCGACCGAAAGGGGTGACCGAAAGTTCGGAGCAGGTTTTCCTTTTAAAACCTGATGTTGAATTTAGGGCTGGGGGCTGGAACTGAAATTGACGGTTTAGGGGGTTCAAGGTGAACAAAGATACGCAATTTCTAGGTAGTTCTTTCTTTAGGGTTTAGGGCTTAGGGTTTAATTTAAGGCCTTCGGGCTTTCGGGGGCCGCGGCAAAACCTCCTGGGTTGAGGGCACCAAGAGACTCTCCAGTCTCAACCGACTTCAGCCTGAACCTTCCTAACATTTTGATGAGCCGATGTTTTTAGGGATCTGTAGAAGGATTCCATGAGGGTTTTGGGGGCCAAGGGAAGTTTGGACCCGAGAACCTTAAACCCGAAATCCTAAACCGAACCTCGGAACACCCGATCCTCAATGCGTCCCATAATCAGACTGAGGTCCACCACCAGTGGTGTGAGTCTCTTGTTGGGTGGTGTCATCCTATCAGCTAGCTACGACTGAGATCAGCCACTCGACCAAGCATTGGAAGATCACAGCTGCAGACACTCAAGTTTTGAACAAATCGTAATGATGCTCCCGCATACTTACTCCCTGCATTGCTAAGTTGCGCTCGGCCTACGGCCAGCGTTGCGAGGGCCTATTGTGCGCTTTAGGGCTTCTGGCTTAATTAGGGGTGGGCTTAAGATTGAGAATTGAGGGATTGAGGGTTTAGGGTTCCTGCGGTCCGACTAATGTATACTGCAGCGAGGGGGAGGAAAGGGGTACGAAAGTATACAACCCCTGCGCTGCGAAAACCAAGAGGCCGCGGGGTCGCAGTTCTGGTAAAGCAGCCCCAGGGGCTGCACAACCCTGGCCAGACGTCGCCAACAACGCGACGGACCGAAACGCTGCCGAAGCAAAACTGTA